CCTTCCCTGATTCATTTTTATACCTAAATTTCACATTTCATAACTCCTGTTAGAAGCAACTTGGGCACGAACTAACTTAGGGTATATCACTCCTAGCTATGCCCTATCTAACCATCATATCTCCGACTGAAAAGCTTTTTGACACCTCGGGTGGTTCCCTCGTAAGTCATAATGGGTTCGATTTGACAAAATATTTAATATTAATAGTTTACAAATTCGAGTTCAAGCATGTAAATATTTGATATCATTGGTAAAGGGCAGTTACAATCAATAAAATTCGGGGTTAGAGGAAAACGTCGAAGGAAAAAATAGCAGAAAAGGAAAATATCGAAAAGGACAATGTCGAATAAGTTGAAAGATGTCAGAGTGTGGGTGGGTGTGGATGTGGGGTGTAGGTGCGAAATTAATGTCAACATTCACACCCACCCACCCTTTATTCAATTGATTCGACAAGAACATGTTCGTTTCGAACATATTTCAATTCAACTTGATGCTGGTGCATCTGCACCGAAAAAATCAACAAAAACAAAAGCTTTTCAAATAAGACTTGATACTCTGCACGATAGATTTCTCAAGAAGCAAATAGATGCCAAGACACTATTGTCAAGCTTATCGTTACTAATTTGGAAGAAAAAAAAGTAGCATTTTATAATATTCTGAATTTTCTTTTGGCTTTTCATTTTTAAATTAATAAAGCATACAATCAATCATGCATTACACGAACGGATCAATCATTTCGACATTTTCCTTTCGATATCTTCCTTTCCTATTTTTTTTTCGACATTTTTCCTCTTTCGACATTTTCCACCAAGACCTAAAATTCATTCGCTTTTTTTTAACGAAATCGTTTTTCATTCGAGTGAATTCGCCAATAGAAATAAAGTAAAAGCCAATGTCTATTTGATACTTATTGAAGATTGAATATCAAATTTAATTTTGAATAAATATTAATAACGACAATAAACTAATAAAAAGGCGAAATATAGATTGTCTTTATTCTAATACTTCAAAAGCGAGAGATTTGTGTTTCAGTCGGATGTCATTGTTTTTAATATGCATTGCAAAATAAATCGCAGGAAATGAAACTTCAAGGAAACTAATATTGTAATATACAAAAATGAAAATCACTTGATTTGCGTACGAGATATTCAAGTTTACTTTTCTGGTGAACCTTAGGGATACCTTGCATATTTTTTTAATTTTCATATGGATAAAACGGCAATATTCACCATGGCTATGAGCATTAAAGGAAACAATAAAATATAAATCAAGAAGAGAACATAACCAGTAATTATATTAGTTATATTATTATTCACTTTGGCACTGTTAACTACACGTAGAGAAAAACATACCAGATGAAAGAAATAGATAAAGCAGATATTTGTCTGAAGCAAAAATCAAACTATATCCGATCCTCATTTTGCATGTAGACTTTCTTACAAAAAAAAACTAATTTAAAAAAATTTGTATGAGATGAGTAATAATCTAATGTGCCAATGCCATTTTTAACTTAATTTTCGATCGATCGAACTAAAATGATACATCGTAAAGTCTACTTAAAAAATTTAATAGGTGGGTCGGGATTGGAATCATTCAGCTGGCCTGCCCAGCCCACTGGTTTGGGTTAAGGCTAACTTATAGAGGCTAAAATCCAATGGGTACCCGTTCCCACCTGATGGGTGCCAGTTCCCATCCAATGAGTACCCGTTGTAACCCAACGGATACCCGTTTCCACCTGAAGGGTACCCGTTTTCACCTAATGAGTGCCCGTTCCAACCCAATGAGTGCCCGTTCCAACCCAATGAGTAAGCGTTCCAAGCCAATGGGTACCCGTTCCCACTCAACCCACTCGGCATCTCTTGTATGTAATATGTAGAAAGTTCTTGTTGTCTATTGATTTTAAGTTGAAATTTATCTTCATTCTTATATTTATTTGTTCGAACATAATATTTGCCTTCAAATTGATCATCTTGAGCATTCCACGTCAGTTGAATAGTGACTTGATGGCCTAAATTCTTTATTGGATAACCAGTACCTTGTTGATATTTTTGTGTGAGACCCATTCGATGTGTTTCAAATGAATAAACACCATCAATAGTAAATGTACCCTCATAATCCGATCCTGAGCATGTTATTATCATCGATTGAGGGTCAAACCACTATGCCAATTGATAAGACCCATACCATTTGCCCACTCTAAAATATCTATACGACCAGATGCCTGACTCAAAATGATTAACATTATGCGCTTGGTGTTTGATATTTTTTGGCTTTCCTCATGTGACGAAGGTTGAATTTTCTCGACGCGGTCGACCTCTACGGCAAAATTTGTAAATGTTGATTCCCGTAGATAACAGAACGATTACGATGCCAACGCCTATACAAGTACTTCTGATAATAACAGAAATCTTGCATTCATCAGGCCCACAATTGTTATCACTACTTCCGCGGTATCCACCACCTGAAATAGAAAATTTATCAGAATAGATTATAAAAATCTTATGGAAAATTCAGAAAATAAGTTAATACATTTATCTATAGTTTCAAAATTAAATATACTCTCAATAAAAAATAAAATAAAAATACCTTTTCCACTATAACGGCCACTGCCACCGCCTCGGCAATGAGTAAAAATCCCGAAGTAAGCAATCAACAGGAACACGCGATAGATAGTATGCATTGTGCTATAAACAAATATAAATTCAACCGTATGTGTTACTCTAAAAAATGGAATTCTACGTTGGAACAGATAAAAGAGGAATTCGAGTTTTGGTCAAATTGTTTTTGGATCAAATTATAATTCCGTTTTCGTCGGAAAGAAATTAGAATAGAGACAGTTAGAGTTTAAATAAATACGGATGTGGACGTGTAATTCTGGGCATAAATTGAATTGGTCTGATTAACTCAGCCCGGACTGAACTGGATGTGGCACCTTATCTTTACTTTATCCGGTAAAACAGAACGCACAGACTTTACTTTACTCAGTGAAGTAAAGTAATCTAATAAAGTTACATTTACTATTTATTTATTAACTTATTATCATGCATTGATAACGTTGTAATATACGAAAGTTTATTAAAAATCTTTTCTTTACTAATAAGTGGAAAATAGAAAATAAAACTGTAAGATCAAAATTTTTTATCTATTGATATTTCTAACTCGAGGTGCTTTTCACATGCTAGAAATAGCATTTTACATCAATTTTATCTACATAAAGTTGAGCTGCGTTTGTAAAAAAATAAGTAATACAGTTATCCTGTGCTGTTTCTATTTATTTCGGAATTCCTTATTATAAAGTACCATACTACCATCGTAAGTCATAAACTTTCCTATTAACTTTTTTTTATGAATTCTATTTACAAAGCCAATGACTACATTAATTAAACATATAAAGAGTTAGGAGGTTTCCATTACTAGTTAGTTACGTTACTAGGCAAAGAGTAACGGAACCGTTAACAGTTACTGGATAACAGATTAATGAAAAGTTCGTAGATTTCAGGTTTCCCTCAAAGAAATATTTTTTTGGAAAATTAACAAAATTTTGATAAAGTTTGATTAAAGAGCTTCGGCGTCAAAGAATTTGAATCTGTGATCAGTTTCTGAAAATTGTGTAATTGATTTCACGGCCAAGTTACCTCTACCTCGGAGATCTCTCATCAAAATCTATGAAAAAGATTGTCAGCAAAGCCCCAGACGGGGCTAAAATCTGAAGCTCACATACAATCACCCTAAAGACTACAGCAGATTATAAAATGTGCAGACATCTCTTTAGAAAAAAAGAATAGATCGAAACGAACGCAACTCAGTCTAGCTATTCATTGGAGATATTTTTTGCATTCTTCAATTGCCTAGACGCTTTTCTTTCGAATTATATCGTGTCTATGTTGCTGTCAGTCATTCTCGTTAATTGTTTTCTATATTGTTTTTATATATCGTTTCAACTCATTCCACTATTACTCAGCGTTGAAACACTCAATCATATCCTCGCGCAAGTTTTCAAGTCGAAAGAACGATTCTTTTGGTTTCATGTTGGTGCACGATCATTTTCTCTGAATAGAAATAACTTCTAGAATTTCTTCTCGTGTCCCCACAGACATATTGAGATACTGGGTTGAGATGCCCGTTAGAAGCGGTTGTTTTTTTAGATGAAGTGTCTATAAGAGGTGGACGAGCGGAAAATTTTCGGATATCAAACTTACACTTACTATTTTCATAGTGAGTGCCACAAAAGTAATTGCTTAAAGAGCCTTAGTAGTACTAATTCGACAATTTGCAGTGTTTGCATATTTGCATACTATGCATCGTCCTATTTTATTAATCCCAGTAGAAGAAACAGGTAACTATAGCGGAGTAAAATCGTCTTACTCGTGGAAACTGTTTTTAATGAATTTTCATACTATCAAGCTCAATAAAAAATTCTATTTTTCGTTCAATTCAGACAAACTACGGGAAAACTTTAACTTTTTATCTAATTCAACTTTCTGCGATCTTGACACATTCTACAACAATCTTTCACCTAAATATTCAGACTGAATGGAAACTGATTTATTTGTATGAAAACGTGTGTCTGTAACAACTACACAGACTCATGATGGATTTGAAAAATTTCTACACCACGTATTTTAATTCATTCTTGGTAGCCTTGTAAAAATGTCCTGTTCTACAGTAATTTGAATCGGTATCTACTATCTTACGAGAGAACATTCATAAGTGTCGGTCGCAATCAACTTCATAATCAGATACGAGTAGGTCTTAATGAGATTAAGAAAAGATTAAAAGATGTTGGAAGCATGATCTATTATTGGATAATGGCGGTTGCTTCTTTAAATTTTTAATCCACTGAGATTAATTTCTAAAAGAATTGAATTAATGATTTTTGTCTTGAAATTTCGCCCTTAGAGAGATATAACGGTTTTGAAAGTCTCCAAAAATCTCAGCTAGAATCAATGTTGTCTGATGGAGATCATGAAGTTTCGAAAGATAGTTACTTGCCATAGGCGTTCAACAAAGCTAGAGTCTTTTTTATTTTACCTGTGCTTACATAGATGATCTAATCGACTTGATTTCGTCTGCCTCGATGCAATCTTTATGAGACTCCATGGACTCTAGCTGATCTCCAAGAACATTCTAAAAAAAACAAGCTTATTACCAAATCTGTGTCCATAGAAAGAGCCTTTCCGGTTTTGTATGAACCTACCGAACTTACAAAAGGTTTCGTAGACTTAGTCGAACCTTTTTGAGGTTCGATAAATTTGTACGAAGCCTCAAATGTTTTCCCTCGGGTACAAGTTCAGTAATAAGCCTATGTTTTTAGAGTTAGAGTGAAGTTTTTTTTGGAAAATTACTGTTGATGAGTGCTGAAGAGAACAGTGACAAAAGTGAAACTCTCGCCTTACATACCCCACACACTCCGAAAAGGCATGTGAGAAAAATTATCCAGCATCACCAACTGTGACAAACAGAATAAACATAACTCTCAAAGTGTCACAGGTTTGAGATATATTTCGATATAATTGTCTGCGTAGCTTTCAAGAATAATGATCTACTGAGCTAGGCGTCTCGTTGACGACTGCAGTGAATCCATCGTGATTGACATTTTAATCGTGCAAATATTACGCTAAAAGCTTTTCTGGATGAAAAAGCATGTCAATTGATGTAGTTCATATTCATACGATCACATCGATTGTTCAAATGTTTAATCTGCACTCATATGAAAGAACTAGTCTATCTCTTTTTCGTCGAAAATTGCTTTTCTTTGTTGCATTCGAAAAAAAGTGAAACTTTCAAAAAACTGAACATCATGGTATTTTTTTTTGCAATTGAGTTCGTCTCACGGATTTTCATTGAGTGTGTGGAGATTCAATGAGTTTGGTTCGATAATTTTGCCACTTCTTTGACATTAAAAAATTTTATTAGAAATTTCTGGACTTACTACTAACTTTCTAAGAATGAAATTCGCGTCGTTTATTAAACTTGATCTCAGTTCAATATAAGCATTGAAAATGTCAGTCTATTTTTCTCTCATCTATTCATTACATGTAAAAACCATTTGAATTCTCAATATCGGTTCTGTATGCTTAGTATGCTCAATTGCGTCTTATTTCGTATTACTCTATTGATCAACAATTAGAATAAATTTCGTATCTATGCTTCACTATATTATGTACGCTGTCTATAACTACTCTTGATTTTTTTTTCTAGAATTTTATTGATAGTCTATGCATAATGAAAAAATCAAGTATACTCACGACATAGATGACGCAGATATATTCAGTGCGTCCCAAAAGCTCGATCGAAAAATAAAATCGTACAACACCACTATTTATCGAACTTAATCAATTAATTTCTTTTCAAATGATAGGTACCACTGTAAAGTTCTTTTTTTGATACAGACAAACTTCATAAATATTGTTCAAAATTATTGCTTTCGTCTGAAATCCAAAAATCAGTTGTTTTTCGATTTTCAAAAAAATCATGACACAGTATTTCTCTTTAAATGTTTCAGTTTCTTACATTTTTTGTAGCACTCAGATCGGTCAGACTTTGGGGTATCGTTTCTATACATTTTTTTCGATATTTCATTATATTAAGAAGTCTAATGGTGTAAAATCCAGTGATCAGGAAGCTCTTGAAATAATCTTATGCTTTAAAATGAGAACTGATGAACTGGAAGAAGTGAATCGATCTGATGAATTTTGTGATCACTGGATTTTACAACATTAGGCTTCTTTCTACAATGAAATATCGATATAAATGCATATAAAAGATAGGCCAAATTTTGACCGATCTGAACGTCACAAAAAGTGCAAGAAGCTGAAACATTCAAAGAGAAACACTGCGTCATGATTTATTTTTGAAAATCGAAAAACGACTGTCCTTTTGTATTTCAGACGAAAGTAATAACTTTGAACGGTATTAATGACATTTGTCCGTGTTAAAAACAACTTCACAGTGCTACCTATCTTTTGAAAAGAAATTAGTTGACGAAGTTTGGTATATAGTGAAGTGATTCGAATTTACTTTTCAATCAAACTTTTGAGACACCCTGTATAAACGTTGACTTATCGATAATCGACTATCTTGCGTAAATATAAATACGTATATATATTAAGTGAGTGACAAAAGTTTAGGACTCTTTTAG